TGAGGAAGAAAGTTATCAGGTCCGGTCACCGGAAGTAACGTTTGAAACAGTACAATGTTCCAGTGTTAGTGGAAAGTTGCTGAGTTGAGGTAGATTCACTTTCAATACTTTGCTTGATCCCAGTTGACCAAAAACTAATACTACCCATGTATTCATTAATGTATAAAATATCTGCGTATGATTAAGTAGGTAAATCATTAGGGGATGATATGTAATTGTGTGATTGAATACTGTATGGATCTGAATAATATATGCATTCGTTTATGTATGTTTATGCACTTACCCATGAGTTCATTTATTGAATAAGATAGAACTATGCACGTCCAAAATTAAAAATACATATGTGAAAGTTCACATGTGATGAACACAAGTGCATTTCGTTTCCTTAATGATCGTTTAGCAGATACAACATTTCCAAAAATTAATAATTTAGAATTATTACTACTATTTGCATAAAAATTTAAATTATAATTTGTTTGTATTTAGATAATTATCATTATTATTATCACAAGCATTTTTCATCTTATTAGTATTAATACCTTCATTAGTATTATTTTGATCTCTAACATTATTCTTATAAATACGTCAATATAGTGACGTACGTTTCTTGTGTAGGAAGGAGCGTCAGCTGAAGCCTGTAACCAGTTTTGGATACCAAGTTGTCAAGGATTATAGGAAGTTGTCCTTGAAGGGGTTGTTTAGGAGAGATGTGATGTGTGGACTTGTCCAGGGGGTGGGGGGTGGTGGTTGTTGGTGTGGGGGGTGGTGGTTGATGTGGGGGTGAAGACTCGTCCTTGAAGTAGGAGGGGGAAGGAACGCACTATCTCATATAAAGAAGATGATTCCAACTGCAGGTAGATAATTCCTGAACCAATAAGTCCAGGAACTTATACACCAGTTGATTGACAGTTGAGAGGCGGGACCAAAGAGCCGAAACTCAATCCCCTGCAAGCACAACTAGGCGAGAACACAAACATCATTGTTCCCTCCAAGGTCCACCAGCCACACACGTCTCCAAGCACTCGCTGACACATTGCAAAATGTGCAACAAAAAATATATAATGGAGCAAGCAAAAAAAAAAGATCTTAAAGTACTCTGTCATTCTGATACAAATATTTAGGTTGTCTTTGTTCTTTGTCAAAGCATGCGGATTGCTGCGTCACAAAAAAACCAATAGACATTAATCTCCGGTTGTCACTTGCCATTGTTGAGGAGTAGGAGTTAAGTCAGAGTGGAGGAGGGGGGGGGGGGGGGGTGTTAAGGTGTGAAAGTGGTGAAATAGGGTGTAAAATAGGGAAGGGTTGAAATGGAAGGTAACATAGGGAAAGGGTGAAGTTTGGGGAGGAGGGAGGGAGAGAGAGAGAGAGAGAGAGAGAGAGAGAGAGAGAGAGAGAGAGAGAGAGAGAGGAGAGAGAGAGAGAGAGAGAGAGAGAGAGGGGGGGGGGACTAGAAGGTAGGGAGAGAGAAAGAGAGAAGGGAAAAGTATGAGGCTTGGTCATGAATAAGAGAAATAGTGATTAATTGGAGACGAAAATTGGGACCAAACTGTGTGAAGCTCACACTGCTTCAGTATTAACCTGGTCCAGTTTGGTACAAATTTGGAACAAACAAAGCTTATCCTGATGAAATTGTACCTGAACTAAAATTAGTCAACATCAACACCTGGTAATTAAAATATTCCTTAGGACTGTCACACTTATGCATTCATGTACGTGATTTCACACACACACACACACACACACACACACACACACACACACACACACACACACACACACACACACACACACACACACACACAGGAGTGTGTGTCAATAAAAACACACAAGGAAGATCGAAAAGGTGCAGACGTTTGCAACGAGACTGGTCCCAGAGCTGCAAGGGATGAGATACGAAGACAGCCTGAAGGAACTGAACCTGACGACGTTTGAAAGGAGAAAGGAGAGAGGGGACATGATACAGACGTATAAAGTACTCAGAGGGATTTAAAGTGTAGCAACGGAGAAAATGTTTACAATTAATATCAATAGAACAATGGGGCACGAATGGAAGTCTGAGACTTAGTTGTGTCATAGAGATGTTAGAAAGTGTTCCTTTAGCGTAAGGGCAGTGCGTAAATGGAATGACCTAAAGAAATGACTCCATCTAGTTTGTTCCACACACACTCAAGTTCTATCAAGTTCCACACACACTCCATCTAGTTCCAGACACTCCTACTTTTTCAACCAGGTGTCGACAGCTGCCGTTTTCTGCGGTTACAAGTTAACCCAGAATGAGGTCTCGGCTGCCACAAGTATTTGAGGGGAAACCTACCATCCGCTGGAGTGTTTAGTGGAGGAAACCACCTGGACTAGTGTGGGCCGGTGTTGTCTAGTGAGAGAGACGGAGCGTTGGTGTCGTGAACACTTACTGTATGACTGGTCGATATATAAGTACTGTACCGAATGGTATACTGTATTTATGATGATGATAGCGAAGTTCACGATGTTGATGTTATAATGATGTTGATGATGTCACAGCACCGTCGCCAAGACATTCAACATGATTGACATTATTCTCCACACCCATCTCTCCTTTTTTCCCTCTGACTTGACTATATTTTCTTCATTTTCCTCCTTCCTGCATCTCCCTCCTCCCCGCCACACACACATACACGGTGAGGAGGAGAATGTTTCTTTGATTTACAAAAGGTAATATATCTCGAAGTATATATATATATATATATCCCCAGGCTTACCACCGTCATGGAATGATATTAAGAACGAGTAACAAGGAATAATATTGATATCTTAAGAACGAATCGTTCACATTCCTGTATGCTTTCCTCTTTTTAACAGTACCAGAACACTCAGGCCCTGTGTGTGTGTGTGTGTGTGTGTGTGTGTGTGTGTGTGTGTGTCTGCACAATCGAGCTATTATCTCCTGGACGCTGCCTTTCTAACCTATATATTTCCTCTATTATATCTACCACATATATTTTTCTCTAATACACACACAAACACACACACACAAACACACACACACACACACACACACACACACACACACACACACACACACACACACACACACACACACACACACACACACACACACACACACACACACAAACACACACACACAACACACAACACACACACACACACACACACACACACACACACAAACACACACACACACACACACACACACACACACACACACACACACACACACACACACACACACACACACACACACACACACAAACACACACACACACACACACACACACACACACACACACACACACACACACACACACACACACACACACACACACACACACACACATCCCCAGGAAGAAGTTCGTAGCAGCTGTCTAACTCGAAGGTAGCTATATAGTGCTAGAAATGTGTGATCCTAACCATGATAACATAAAACAGGTCAAAAATAACAGAGGTCAAAAGGTTTCTTACCAGACTGGTTCATGAACTTCGACTAGTAAGCTACCGGAAAAGGTTGAGAGAACTAGACCTCAATACGTTGGAAAAGGGAAGGGAATGAGGTAACCTGATGACGACATTCAAGATACTTAGAGGCCAAAGTGGACGAAACCTGAGACTTTCTTGTGAACTTGAGCAGGGCGAGAGGGTTGAAACGTCATTCATTGGTCAGAGACTAGTTAAGAAAGACAAAAGGAGTTGGGATTCATTGCGCAGAGGCGCTGGTGGCTGAGTGGACAGCACGATGGATACGTAGTCCTGTGTGTGGTACGGGGGTTCGATTCCCGGCGCCAGCGGAAACAGATGGGCAGAGTTTATTTCACCCTGACGCTCCTGTTACCTTGCAGTAAATAGGTACCTGGGAGTTAGACAGCTGTTACGGGCTGCTTCCAGGAGGTGTGTGTGTGTGTGTGTGTGTGTTGAAGGTTATGGAATTATCAGGGGAAAGCGCCAAGCCATTACGACTATATATAGCACTTGGAAGGGGTCGGGATATGAATGTGGGATGGGACGGAGAGTAAGGAATGGTGCCCAACCACTTGGACGGTCGGGGATTGAACGCCGACCTCCATGAAGCGAGACCGTCGCTCTACCGTCCACCCCAAGTGGTTGGGCAGGGGGAGGGGGGAATAATTAGTTAGTGATAGTAACAGTTGATTGATTGACAGTTGAGAGGCGGGCCGAAAGAGCAGAGCTCAGCCCCCGTAAGCACAACTAGGTGAATACAACTAGGTGAATACGTCCATATACACAGCGCGTCAGCGTGGTTGGGGAGACTTGGCTTAGTCAGGTGTGGTGGCCCCCCAGAGTACACTGGTGGCCCCCAGGGTACACTGGTGGCCCCCAGGGTTCACTGGTGGCCCCCAGGGTACACTGGTGGCCCCCCAGAGTACACTGGTGGCCCCCAGGGTACACTGGTGGCCCCCCAGAGTACACTGGTGGCCCCCAGGGTACACTGGTGGCCCACCAGTGTACCCTGGGGGCCCACCAGTGTACCCTGGGGGCCCACCAGTGTACTCTGGTGGCCCCCAGGGTACACTGGTGGGCCCCCAGGGTACACTGGTGGCCCACCAGTGTACCCTGGGGGCCCACCAGTGTACCCTGGGGGCCCACCAGTGTACTCTGGTGGCCCCCAGGGTACACTGGTGGGCCCCCAGGGTACACTGAGCACACATTGCTCCCTCCAAGGTGACTCCTTCACAAACACCAACTTTCTGCCTTTCTTTTGTCTCTTGATAATAGGTTTACTTCTATTTTTCTTCCCGTGTTTACATCTCGGTTCGTGTTTAAATATCTTTCTTTTCTTCTTATTCCCTCTTCGTCGCATCTACTGCTCTTTTACTTCTTTATTCCGTCTCTCCCTTTAGCTATTCTCCCATTCTGCCTTCTTTATCTTCATCTTCACTCAATTGCCTCCTTTTCTTTCTCTTATTCCTTGTTCCCTCGTTCTCATTCTCTTTCTCCCATGTTCCCCTTCCCCTTCCACTCCCTTCGTCATTCTCTCCCTCTCTTACCGTCCCACGCAAATTATTGCCGTGTGGCCATGGGAGTCCCCACTGGCCATGGATGTCCCCACTGGTCATGGATGTCCACACTGGCCATGGGAGTCCCCACTGGCCATAGGAGTCCCCACTGGCCATGGGAGTCCCCACTGGCCATGGATGTCCCCACTGGTCATGGATGTCCACACTGGCCATGGAGTCCCCACTGGCCATGGGAGTCCCCACTGGCCATGGGAGTCCCCACTGGCCATGGGAGTCCCCACTGGCCATGGGAGTCCCCACTGGCCATGGGAGTCCCCACTGGCCATGGATGTCCCCACTGGTCATGGATGTCCACACTGGCCATGGGAGTCCCCACTGGCCATGGGAGTCCCCACTGGCCATGGGAGTCCCCACTGGCCATGGGAGTCCCCACTGGCCATGGGAGTCCCCACTGGCCATGGGAGTCCCCACTGGCCATGGGAGTCCCACTGGCCATGGAAGTCTTTCACTGGCTTCATGGTGATGTTGAATCTCTCAACATTTAGCTCTCGATTTTTACTAAGCTTTTAGTTTCTTTTCTCTGAGGTGTGAATCTTAGGTTCGTGCGTCTGAAGGTTGAAGCATTGAGGAACAGCACTTTTTATGTCTGAAATGTTTAGTTTTGTGCGCGCGTGCGAGCACTCTATTCATGTGAGCGTCTTTGTGCTTGTAATTGTTTATGTACGTACACACACACACACACACACACACACACACACACACACACACACACACACACACACACACACACACACACACACACACACACACATACACACAAACACCTTGACACAGTACAACACAAGCTAGAGATGTAGGCAGGAGTAAAAGGGAAGGTATTTCGTTGAATGAGGGAGTACCTAAGCATCAGAAGACGACGAGTCACTGTGAGGGATGAGGTCTCAGATTTGCGATGCGTCACAAGTGGAGTCCTACAGGGCTCAGTCCTTGGACGTAAGCTGTTTTTGCTACATGTAAATGTAAATAATCTAGAAGGAATTGACTCATTTCTCTCATTGTTGTTGATGATACAATAATTACGAGGAGGATTAAGACAGAGGAAGACAGTATGAGGCTACAAGATGACCTAAACAAACTGAATGAATGGTCCAACAAATGGCTACTAAAGTTCAACCTAAGTAAATGTTAGGTAATAAAACTAGGCGGTGGAGACAGGAGGATACACAGGATACAGAATGGGAGAGAAAGTCATTCATGAAATGGAAATAGAGAAAGATCTAGGAGTTGATATCACACAAAACCTATCTCCTGAAGCCCACATCAAAAGAATAACATCAGAGGCGTATGCAAGGCTGGCTAACATCAGGACTGCCTTCAGAAACCTGTGTAAGGAATCCTTGTGAACCTTGTATACCACGTACGTAAGGCCAATCCTGGAGTATGCGGCCCTAGCATGGAGCCCGTACCCTTTCAAGCACAAGACAAAATTGGACAAAGTTAAGAGGTATGCCACTAGGCTAGTCCCAGAACTAAGAGGCATGAGTTACGAGCAAAGGCTGCAAGAAACGCACCTCATGTCGCTGGAAGAACGGAGCGCTCGTGGAGACGTGATCATTACCTACAAAATTCTCAGAGGAATTGACAGGGTAGATAAAGATAAACAGTTTAACACTGGTGGTACGCGAACAAGAGCACACAGTTGGAAACTGAGTACCCAAATGAGCCACAGGGACGTTAGTAAGAACTTTTTCGGTGTCAGAGTAGTTAACAGATGGAATACATTAGGCAGTGATGTGGTGGAGGCTGACTCCATACACAGTTTCAAATGTAGATATGATAGAGCCCAGTAGGCTCAGGAATCTGTACACCAGTTGATTGACAGTTGAAAGGCGGGACCAAAGAGCCAAAGCTCAACCCCCACAAGCACAACTAAGTACACACTTCTTCAACCAAGATATCAAAACCACCAAGAGCTAGGGTGAGGTCCATCTATAACACTCTAAGGAAAATGAAGCAGATGTTGAGAGGAGAATATGAGAGTTCCCCCTTTAGAAGCAAGCGGCCACTGTGTTATCGTCTTCAAGTACACAGTAAGGGTCAAGTGAAGGGTCAGAATAAGAGAGGCAAGAGATTACAAATGTGGAAATAGCAGGTGGCTTGGGGGTCTATCTGGAAAGAGGGAATTAGAAACAGTTCAACCCACATAAGAAGATGGACGAGAAAAAAGAAGTAAACTTTAGAGGAGCAAAGAAATAAAAAAAAGCATAGATGAAGGAAGTATAGAGCACGTGACGCAGAAGACAATAGGAGACACTGAAGAGGAGAAACTGACACGCCCGAATCGGGAGCGAAGCCCAGAAAGAATCTGAAAACGACTGAAGAGGTAAAAGCTGAAACCAACCAAAGCTGTTGAACTGCTATAGAATGAGATACAACCCAACAGGATACTACTGATCAACTTCATGAGGTAAAATAGGAAGCCTGACCGAAAACAACACCACACATACTACTAGACGAAACGACCAATAATAAGTTAATTGAAGGTTACAGAGAAGAGGGCAAATACTGCTCGCATCTTCCTCTCCCTTTCAAAAGGGTCCATTAAGTACTCTGAGTTATCTCGCTCTCAGCGTTCATAAGATCAATGAGTAAGAGAGAGACATTGGAAAGGAAGCAAAACAATGGAAAGAAAGATGCTTGAAGCAAGGCAAGACGAGGAGATAGAGGGGTAGAGGAGTAATGACATCTCTCAGACAACACTCAAGACCAAGGTAAACAGATAAGCGATCACCTTCCCTCCCCGCTTAGAATGCGACTGGAATGCTTTCCAGCAGATACTTGACAAGCAAATGTCGAGTTTGCTCGGCGTGGAATGTTGGTGGGTGAGTTGTACGTCCCTATGACAGTCTACGAGTGAGGTCTACCTCTTTATGCTAGACGTTTGCTAGCATAAACACAAACACACACAAACATCTCTCGGTGTTTGTGTGTGTTTGTGTCATCGTTTATACATTCGTGTTGGGCACGAATGTGTACAAATTATCAGGTGGCTGTGGAGGAAGGGTAGGAGGGATCATAAATAGTTAAGATCATCAAATCAACATCCACGAGCGAGAGAGAAACCTCCCAGAGACCGACACACATTGATCTAACGGAAAAAGAAACTTCACTAATGACCCAAACCTCAAGCAGGTGGACGTGAACATCAGTAATAACCAGAGCCATAACACCTTGATGGCTCCTCAGCAGAGCGTGGAGGAGGGTTCCAGGACTTCCTCGAGAAAGTGGGTAAGAGAACAAGCTCCACCTTGACATAGAAAACGAAGTAACGTCCCACCAAACACAAAACGTAAACAAAACAAAAAGTTGGTTTGACTGTTCTTGCAACGACGCGGTTTCGTTGCAAAGTTGCCGGGGCGTACAGGAGGCTGCTCTCAACGATCTACGGGCTCACCATAGCCCGTGCTACTTGGAACTGCTTGTTCCAAGTAGCGAATCTTTAACAACAACATCTCAACGATCACATGCAACAGGGTGTCATTTACTGGCCAATTTAGACACGAGAAACGTCAACCAGAGAACCAATCAGCCTCAGGAGTGGTTTGGAACGTGTGGAAGACAAGAGGACTTGGATGACTAGTTCAGATGGATCTGTAACAACGGGTGTGGGTGGTAGGGATGCTAGTGTGATAAGTGTGGGAGGTAGGGATGCTAGTGTGACGAGTGTGGGAGGGAGGGATGCTAGTGTGACGAGTGTGGGAGGTAGGGATGCTAGTGTGACGAGTGTGGGAGGGAGGGATGCTAGTGTGACGAGTGTGGGAGGTAGGGATGCTAGTGTGACGAGTGTGGGAGGGAGGGATGCTAGTGTGACGAGTGTGGGAGGGAGGGATGCTAGTGTGACGAGTGTGGGAGGGAGGGATGCTAGTGTGACGAGTGTGGGAGGGAGGGATGCTAGTGTGACGAGTGTGGGAGGTAGGGATGCTAGTGTGACGAATGTGGGAGGGAGGGATGCTAGTGTGTACGAGTGTGGGAGGTAGGGATGCTAGTGTGTACGAGTGTGGAGGTAGGGATGCTAGTGTGACGAGTGTGGGAGGTTTGGATGCTAGTGTGTGGACGAGTGTGGGCGGTAGGGATGCTAGTGTGACGAGTGTGGGAGGTTTGGATGCTAGTGTGTGGACGAGTGTGGGCGGTAGGGATGCTAGTGTGACGAGTGTGAGTGATAGGGATGCTAGTATGGAAAGAATGTTGAGAAATGAATGAAAGATAGTGAAGAAAGAAACAACATGGAAGAATGAACCTGGAAGCGAACAATGCTTGAATGGATGTAAATCCATTCAAGATGGATTCATATCCATCTTGGAAACCATCTGAAAAGGAATTTAGTTTGACGCGATAGTCAGCTCCTGCGATGAGATAACTGTGTGTTTACTAGTTGTGTTTACTAGTTGTGTTTTTACGGGGATTGAGCTTTACTCTTTCGGCCCGCCTCTCAACTGTCAATCAACTGTTTACTAACTACTTTTTTTTTCTTTTTTTTCCACACCACACACACACACACACACACACACACACCAGGAAGCAGCCCGTGACAGCTGACTAACTCCCAGGTACCTATTTACTGCTAGGTAGCAGGGGCATTCAGGGTGAAAGAAACTTTGCCCATTTGTTTCTGCCTCGTGCGGGAATCGAACCCGCGCCACAGAATTACGAATCCTGCGCGCTATCCACCAGGCTACGAGGCCCCTTATGTGTGTGTGTGTGTGTGTGTGTGTGTGTGTGTGTGTGTGTGTGTGTGTGTGTGTGTGTGTGTGTGTGTGTGTGTGTGTGTGTGTGTGTGTGTGTGTGTGTGTGTGTGTGTGTGTGTGTGTGTGCGTGTGTGCGTGTGTGTGTGTGTGTGGGGGGGGAGCTGGTAATAGAAAACGGTAACCAGTATAGAAATCACTAAGAACTTACCCGTTCGTACACACAGACATTCCCGGAATTCACAGAACAAACTCTACGAGCAAAGACTGTTATTGTAAATCAAAAGCACATGACTGGCTATCATCAGCACGAGGAGTCCCAGCATGGAAGCACAGCGGGTGAAAGTAAGAGTGAGAGTGTGCGTGTGAGTGTGCGTGTGAGTGTGCGTGTGAGTGTGCGTGGGGGGAGAGGTGAGTGAGAGTGTCCCGATGACGCACATGATCCGACGAGACGAACGACACAAGTGGGTCGACACAAACAAGTCGTTGGTGGCTATAACGGGTTTCGTGGTAGCTGGTATACCTGACTCTGACTATTTCCAGACCCGCGGCTGACATACCTGACTACCTCACTAACTCGTGGCTGGCACAGCTGGCTCTCACTAGTCCCAGAACTTCTGCTGACATAACTGACTATCTCCCTGACTTGTGGCTGGCACAGCTGGCTCTGACTATTCTCTGACCCGGGCTAGGCAGGGGGGGGGGGGGTAGGCGGGA